AGGAACACCAAATGTGGATATAGATAATCACAATCCAGGTCTACATCTTAAGGAGACCTAATCACAATGTCCCACCAGGCAAGTCAGAGCCTTAGTTATTTGACACTGATATCAATAGGAAGCAGGGAAAGCTCCAATTTCCTGATGTATTGTGCAAACTTTTTCCATCATGAGGTCCCATCCAGGATCAGGGGCAGAGGATCCAGAACAGATTTAACATCAGCATGAGCAGCCTGGAGCCTGAAGGTGTTGCCACTTATTACTTTCAATGGCATAGAAGTTTGCTGTCCAAAGTGACACAGGCCTTGACACCAACATCCCAGGAAAGCAGAAGTGTGAGGCTGGGCTACCTCAGCTGCTCTTCCTGCTGCTTCCACCTGCTGAGGACACTGCTCAGAGGCAGCCAGGCTCTAAAGTACATTGCCTAGAAGGGGAGAGAGTACCTCTTTGTGTATTCACCATCTTTCCTTCCCCTCAGCTCCATCAGAGCAGACCAGAGTGTGTCTCTTCTTATTTCCTGAATGATGCAGAGTAGTGTACGTTGGGGGTCCACATAGTGGTATCACATGCGATTTATAGAGCTAACAGATACTCAAAGCAGGACTGACGTTAATACAGGGATTGAAGTTCACACTACAGACATTAATTAGCAGGTCTGGCTGTTAGGGATATTGGTCTTAGAAATAGGGGATTCTCTGTTTCTCCCCATAATCCTGAACTCATTTTTCAGTATACGTAAAGACTGCCTAATTCTGTATTCTCAGAGTGCTTTCAGTAGCTCCAGACTGGAAGTGGTTCTCATAATCTCCTAAACCTCGTAACCTGGTCATTCTGCTGATATCTCCTCTGTCTATAAAAACTGCCTAATTTAAGCTGGGCATGGTAGCCCATGCCTGTAATCCCAGTGGCTTGGGAGGCTGAGGCAGGAGGATTGTGAGTTCAAAGCAGCCTCAAGAAAAAGCAAGGTGCTAAGCATTTCAGTGAGACCCTGTCTCTAAATAAAATTCAAAAAAAGGGCTGGGGATGTTGCTCAGTGATTAGTGCACCTGAGTCCAATCACTGGCACCAAAAAAAAAAAAAAAGAAAAAAAAAAAAAAGAAAGACTGCATAATATTGTATTCTCACAGTCCTCCAGAGAGGTCCAGACTGCAGATGTCCTCTCAGCCTCCTGTACCTCCTCACCTGGTGATTCTACTGATATCTCCTCTGTCTATTCCATTGACAATAGGTGCTTGTGGGTTTAGAATTATTCACTTTGGCATGTGAATCACAGGAGTGCTCCGGTTGAGCAATTCTATGGGAACCCATAAAAGAAAAATGCATTCTGTGATCTGTGCTTCCCAAGGTGATGATGATCATGGAAAGCTGACAACAGACAACAGGACCTTCTTATGGCCACTATTATCCCAACTCTCATTATGTTTCCACAATGGGATTGATTCATGATATGTGGATATGATATTTCAAGTATTATCCATGAATCCGAGATCAGGGGAAACTTTTCATAGAGCAAACAGAAAATGATGAAAAGAATTCAATGTGCAAAAATAATTGTTATTTTTTTTACAGTGGGATTAGCTGAAGCCAAGGTAAAAGCATGGAGCCCATTAAAGAGAAACAAGTATGTGCAACAAGAACCTTAAGAGAGAAATGACTTGTAATTCAAAACAGAAAAGTAGGTGGCAGCACTAAACACATTGAGATTATTAGAAATGTAGAGCAGCTGACTGTCCTGATCACCTAGGAGGAAAAGCTGCCTTTAACAAAGTGCAGGGTGTGCTCATCAGCTGCCCACCACTGTGAGCAAACACCTCCACACAGTACCTCATGGGGAAAGGCTGATCTTGATTCTTGGTTTCAGAGGTTTTATGCCACACACCGTGGCACCTTGGCTGGAGTCTGTGTGCAGACAGAACACCATGGCAGGGCTTCTGTTGCAGGACAGAGCTGCTCACCTTAGGAAGCCAGGAAGAGGGAAGAGAGAGAGGTGTTAAGGACAAGGCACACCTTCCTGTCATGCCTCCAGTTGCATTTCAGGGACTGTCATAGGGAGACACATCATCCTGGTCTCAGTGGCTCAGATAGTAAAGATGTGTCCTCTCAATGTTCTGCAGACTGAAGTTCCAAAGTCAAGGGGCAGCAGATGACCCCTCAATCATAGGCACTCTTTCTATGGCTCCCTTCTTGTATGTCCTCACAAGCTTCTCCTTGTGGCCTAAGTAGGATGGACAGATCTCCCTGGACAGAGAGCTCCCTGGACGTCTATTCAGAAGGACATGGTTCCTGTAGGACCAGCCTCACCTGGATGACCTTCTTTAACCTCCATTCCTTCTTATTACCACTTCTGCAAACACACCAACAGTTAGGTGAGGAGTCAACATTTGAATGGGGGCAGTTTTACTAATACTAAAGATGTGGCCTTAGTAACTAGGTGGAGGGGTGCAAAGGCAGGGCTGGGCATCCAGTCTCAGAGCCCCAACACAGAGAGTGTTTGCCCACACCTCAGCCCCCAGGCAGGTCCTCCACGTGCTCCTGGCCATACAGAGTCCCAATTCAAGCCTGGGGATCTCCCTGTAGGTAAAGGACAGTATCACTCTTTTACTTACCTAGCATTTCCAAGAGCAAGCTTCTCTTTGCAAATTGTGGTCTGTTCTGACTTCTCATGGTTGATTATTGGTATTGCATCTCATGGTGTCAGAGATGGCACCAAGGCAGCTTCCTGGAAAACCATCTCTTGCTGATGGAGCTCATTCTATTGCAACAGTAACCAGAGGGATTCTGTAAAGAACAGATAATGATCCCTCCTGTGATGCAGACACCAACTTCTGGGCACAAGACAAACAGATAATTTCATATTCAGAAATTATAATTGTCCTAGGACAGTAGGGCACATCTGGGCACTGTGATCCAGGTGAGATGCCACAGGTGTGGATTTACAAAGACTCCCTTGGGCTGCAGGATGTACTGTCAGAGGTGGCTGGAACCCTGTTCTCCCTTTCTATATCTGTCCATGCAGCCCCATTCCCATCATCCCAGGAGCCTTCCAGAGCGTATTCTAGGCCACAACAGCTACACCATCTGGGGAAGGACCTTAGGCCACCAGTGGCTGGTGAGGTTTGTGTTCTGAGCTGCAGCTCCTAGAAAGACCTTGTGAATCTTTTAGACCAACACTGGCCAACAGAATCTTCGGCCTTGATGAAGAGATCTGTATCTGAGCTGTCCCATGTGGCACCTGTTAGCCACACATGGCATGTGAGATTAGGCATGGGAAAGAACCAAGTGCCAAAGAAATGTTCATTGTAAAATTTAACTGAATCTAAGTTTATAGAGTCCCTGTGGCTACTGTGCTCCACATGAGACAGCACAGTTCTAAAAGCAGCATCAGCACAATTTCTTCAGCCACCAGGATGTAATTGATCAGCACACAGTCTGCCACATGTCATAGCAAGAGTGATGGACAGTGGCATCCCAAGTCTCCAAGCTGCCTCTGTAAGGCAGACATTAGAAAGTTTATGACCTGTCATTCTGATGTCTTTTTCTGCTGGGGAGGTTTCTAAAGATTTTTATTTCTTTGAATGGCTCATGTTTCCCTGCTCCTTTGTGTGCCTTGCCATCTTCTGTTGAAATGCAGCCTTTGAATTAAACACTCACCTGCACAGTCTTTGAATTCTGATGTGGAACCCATTCACTAGTTGTCAGGGCTTTCTGTGAGGACTGGGTTTTGCCTGGGTGAAGGCTTTTATCTTTCCTGGGCATGCAGGTGCCTGTGTGTTTCCCCTCCCAATTTCCCCAGAATCTATGGCTGTTTAGAAATGAGCTGGTTATCCTGAGGGTCGCATGGAAGCTTTTTTAGGGCCTGGGTGTGCTGTATGTTTCCTGATCCCTTTTCCTTCATGCAGTGGTCACACACAGTGGTGCCCACCAATGCTGTCCACAGTTCCTTCACCTGAGCCCTGAGCCCTGCACTTGTCCCTGCCTGAGTTCTGAGTCATGTGATAGAGAGAGCAGTCCACCAGGCATCCCACAGATGAGGTAGAAAGTCACAATAATGTGCTGCTCTGTTCCTCCTGGGCCATGGGAGGGATCAGGGAATTGGGTACTTTGCTCTTAACCCTGCCTCTTCCCACAGGGATTGGGTAGGGAAAGGTGTATAAAGGTCCAGTTGATTCCTGCTGTAACTCAAGTGGTCTTTTCTTGACCAGGCTTTGACTTTTGTGTTTCAGAAGAATTTGGAGTGTAGTCAGAATTTTTATCAGGTTTTCCCATTCAGTTTTTAGTTTTCTTATTTTATTTTTATGCTTCAATAGGAAAAAAATTCCTATAAATTCTTACTTAAATAATGTTAGTCTGACACTCTCATCAGTTGAAAAAAAAACACCTTTTTATTGATGAAATTGATTTAAGATATAAAAAATTATTTAACGAGAACATTCTTTTCAATTTTAAGGATTGAGTTTTCTAACTGCTCTGCAATATTTTCCTTACATTACATTAAAAAATACATATTTTAATTTTAATTGTATTCTTGATAGAATATGTTGTTAGAAGTGGAAACCTCAAACACAGTATATTTTCCTAAGTAGGATAATTTGTTCATTTAATTCAAGTCTTTTTAAAAAAAATTCTATTATACAATATTAAACCACTTGTTCATGGATTACTGTAGTTAGTAGAACACAGTTTAAACAGGAGGAATTAAGCATACAGGCTCTGCCCTTACCTGGAATATGGAGCCCCTCACTCTCAGTCATGCTGAGCTCAGCTTCAACCATCATCATTTCTTCAGAGTTTTCATCATTTTCACCCTTTGTGTCCACGAAGTATACAGGTTTTGTGGTCTCTAAATCTACATGTATAAAACTGAACAACAAAACTTGAACCCATACATTATATTTGGTTAAAAAATGAACTTCCACTTTCACTTAGGATGTTGCAGGCCTCAGCAGACCATGAAAAACACTGCATTAAGCACAGAAGAAAATAACCATAAAATAACCACTTTACACTCAAGCTTGTCACACTCAGAAGCCTGGGAAGAAATTAAAAGGAGACCTACAACTCCTGAGACAGATTGGACCTATTAGTGGGGGCTGAAGCTTACCTGTTTTTTGTGTTCCCACTTTAACATCTTAAACCTGAGTGTCCTCAGTACTCTGGCATAGTCCTGGGAGAGGGGCTGCCCTAGGAAAGAGGAACTGACTGTGAGTTGCCTTGAGCTGAGAGGTTGATTGACATTGCTGAGTCCTCAACAGCAGGCTGGGTTTCTCCTGTGGGCATTTGCTAATGTCTTGGAGGGCAAACGTGGCAGGATGCCAAGTCCTCATGTGCCCTCCACTACTGTGATTCTGCACTGACCAACTCTGTGTGTGTCAGGGACATGGCCTTGGGCCGCTGCATGTCTGTTCATCTTTCCAGTTCAGCTTTGCCTCCTGGTCAACCTCCTGTCCATCTTGTCCACATGGTACCTCCTGAGTGACCCTTCTCTCTGGACTCACCCCACGTCTATCTTGTGGGAAGGTCACCTGGTAGGAACTCTCACCTGCCCCACTGGGTGGACTAGGATTGTGTGATGTGAGAGAAGCACATTTGGACAGGAGCTTCACTGACCCTTGAGTCACTGGGCCCTTGGAGAGTGCAGGACACACCACATTTCCATGAGGCTTGCAGTGGGCAAGGACAAACTTGAGGGCCAGGCAGGATCTGTGACATTTGGGATTCTCTCTGAGAAAGAGAAGAGATTCCATCTAGCTTTCTAGGTGAAGCCCAACCCCAGCAGTGTGCCCACCCCAGTCAACGAGGGCCTTGGTTGTGTGCTGAACAAGACTTGACCTTTACCACATCCCATTCACCTTCTCATTCAGTGCCATGGTCCTAAGAATAATAATATTTTTCTCCATTTGAGCAAGGATTGGCTTACAGATTATTATACCCACCCAGTTTTTGGAATGCAGCATCTATTTTAAGTTCTGTAATTCTTTCACACTTGGCTCATTATTTAAAAATATATCCATGGGATTCATAGAACTCCCTTGTTATCTCAGAACCCATGACTGAATCTGGTCAAAGGTATTGACATGAGGCCTCCTTGGGTGAGTGGTGTAAAATGTTGAGCCTGACCCTGAGCTGGAGAGAGATGTGGGCCAAGGATAAACGAAGTGCAAAAAGGGTGAGGGAGAGGAGGTCATCACAGCCCTGCTACGTCCAGGCATGTGCAGACGAGGTTTACACCAAAATAAATGCTAAAGAGAATACATACCTTTGTGTTGCCACAAACCACCTGATTCTGAACCTGGTCCTGGTGAAGGCACCTGATGGGAGGGAGCCCCAGCCTGAGTGGTCATTCAGCTCACCTTCCATCATGCTGGGCTGACCAGAGGCTCCCAAAGACCCTTCACCCTCCTTCCTGCTCCTGCCCTGCCCCTCTGATGAGGTCTTAAAAAGATCTTGAGCTCTAAGCTAAGTACATGGTCCAGGGTCCTTGACTCTGCTCTGGGCCCCTGAGATTCTAGGATCTTTCTCTTCAACAGACAGAGAATCTGCAGTGCCTCTCCCCTGAAAAGCAACACATGTGGAGCTGGGCCACCCATCAGGTAAGTTTGTGGGGTTTATACCTTAATTTTTATAGTTAATTTCATAGCTTGCCCACAGCAATAACAACAGCCTCCTCAGCCTCCACTGTCCTGAGTTGTAATATGAAATCTGTCCCTGACCCTCTGCCCCTGAAGTTGCCTGAGACCCAGAGACAACTGGAAGCCCAAAGGATTAGAAGCCACACAGACTTTCCTGCCTTCTGCAAGAATCAATGTATCCCTCTGTGTGTAGAAGTTTCTGTGTGCACCTGCAGGAGGTGGATGGGTGAAGGCAGGAGGGAGGAGCCTGGGTCATCACAGAAGCACCTGTGGGTCCTCAAATGAGAGAGAAATGGAAGGTTATGCCTACCATTATGAGCCATGTTCATGATTTCTCTCCCAATCTTAATCTCAGGCTACTGTGGTGTGTGTGTGTGTGTGTGTGTGTGTGTGTGTGTGTGTGTGTGTCCATGTGTGTGAGTGTGTGTGTGTGTCCATGTGTGTGAGTGTGTGTGTCTGTGTATGTGTGTGTGAGTGTGTGTGTGTCTATGAATGTGTGTTTGTTGAGTGTATGTGTCTGTGTATGTGTGTGGGTGTGGGTGTGAGAGTGTGTGTGAATGTGTTTGTGTGTGTGAGTTTATGTGTGTGTCTGTATATGTGTGTGTGTGAGTATGCATGTTTGTGTGTGTGAGTGTGTGTGAGTGTGTCTGTGTGTATGTTTGAGTGTGTGTGTGTGACTGTGTGGGTGTGAGTGTGTGTGTCTGTGTCTGTGTATCTGTTTGTGTGTGTGAGTGTGTATCTATGTGTGTGTGGGGGTGTGTCTATGCCTGTGTGTGTGTGTGTCTGTGTGTGTGTGTGTGCACCAGCAGTGGTGACTACACACCTAAGGGTCCCACCCGCAGCAGGCCTGCTCTCCCTGGAGCCCATGTGCTCTCACCTGATGGGCAGGGTCTGCTCTTTCTCTGCTGGGCTCACCTAACCCCACCTGTCTGAGATCAATGCAGGAGGATCATGAGGTGAAGGACTCAGAGCCCACCCCTGGCTGGGCTGTGCTGCTGGAAGGAGAGCAGGTGGGCAGAGCAGCTTGCAGCTTCACAGACACAACTGTGTCATATGTGGCTGTGTCTCCTGATCTTGGCACACACAGGCCCAGGGTGAGGGGTTAGGGCTGCAAGTAGCCTGAACCTGCTCCTCCTGCCTCCTGATCCTAGTCCATGGCAAAGATCAGACCTTGGCTTAAGCAGCCAGGATGGCTTCTGTCATATCCAGGTGACACTATGACATCACGGTGAGGAAGGAAGACACTAGACTTCATGATTCTCAGCCCTCAGGCTGACCAGGAGGCTTTGGCTAGAGGTCACGTCTCCCTGTCTCTCTGTGCATGTCACATTCCCTGTGCCCTCACAATGCTGCCTGGACCTGTGCTGGCCTCCCCCTGCATCACCTGAAGCTTCATGCTGACACCTGCTCAACTGTCCTACCAGCTGTCACCAATGGCAATGTTATCAGGAGAACCATTCCTGAAGCTCTTCCAGTATTGATACATTTTCCAGTCACTTTCTTAAAATGAGTAGATAGATTCCTATTAGCCATTGATCACCAGGATGAATAGTCCTAGCCTCAAAAATGGGACCCTTTCTTCATAATTAGTCTCTTGTCCTATGGGATCTGATGACCATGTGTTCATCATTTCACTCAGTTTAATGGAAGAATGATGATGACAAATCTCTGAGTCAAGAACTTTTGACCAGAAAAGCAAAATTTGAGTAGAGAGAAACAGAAATTTCCAAGGTGCTCATTGACATGATCAAGAGGGTGGGGATGACCCCGCGATTCTCAAGAGCTAATCTTCTATGTCTGAGAGAAACAGAACCACACAGGTCAGTGCTTCTGAGCCTTCTCCACTCCAGGCAGGAAGAGAATCAACCTCACAGGGCCCAGGGCCAGTGGAACTGGATTCTTGTGTGTTTCTCCCTTCATTAACACAGTTGCCCCTGCATTCATAACAATGTCATGGTCAAGTCCACTCAGGTTCTTATTCTTCTACAGTTGAGGTTCCTGGTCCAATGGTGCAACATGTAAGAACTTCTTCCATCTTTTAAAGCTTTCAGAAAATCTCCATATGATATTTCTGGCAGACACAGGCTGAAAGAAAAGGCACAGACAAGAATCCCTCCCAGCCCTCCCAGTTTTGGTCAGGTCCACTGGAGTCAGGTCAACATTGGGGGACAGTCTTCATGTCTTCATGTCTCACTGTGCTGGTCACATGACCTATGCTTTAGGTATAATATAGGGGGACAACAGTGGACAGTCTGGTTGGTGAGTTGAATGCTCAGAAGTGCCAGAGGCCACATGAACTGGGTGGGATGAAGTTGATATTATAGGAGTCCAATAGGGGACCCTCATGACATTGGTTCATGAACCTAAATGGGACAGTAGAAGATAACTCTCTCCAGTCTATATGTTTGTTAATGCTAATTATTGACAGTCCCTACTCCTTAATGACCTTTAAATGATCATTCATTTATGAAGCACTTATTTTAAACTCTGAACTACTTGTAACTGCCTGGCCATAGCTCTTCCAAAAAGACATTGTCAACAATCCCCACTCTGCATTTCTTGCAAGGCTGATAATCTATCCAAACAGCATTGCCTTGCCCTCCTCGGTCTGCATTTCAGCCAAGAGGCCAAAAGCCCCAGAAGGAGAGAGACCATGACACATTCCTAGTCCAGGGCTGCAGGTCCATGATCCCCAGAGAGGGCAGCAGGTGCAAGTCCAGGTCCAAAGGCCAAAGGACTTGAGGTTGATGTCCAAGACTGGTGGCAGGAGAAGCTCATGCTCTGGAGGAGGAAGAGCTTGAGAAGATAAAGGATGAGTGTCCCCTGCTTCTCCTGTAGTCCACCTGGCCCAGGCAATTGTGCTGAGCCTCCTACACTCAGGAAAGGTTTGCTCACTCAGTCCCATGAACATGACATCCACCATCCTGGACATGCTCTACTAACACACTAATGCTCCAGGCCTCTCTCCATCCACCAAACCTGACATCACCCAGCATCCCTCACATCTCATGCCACAGCTACACAGAGGAAAAAAGCTCTGTCCTGGAGTTTGTTTATTATGATCCATGGCCATGACCCCCATTCTGCTTAAGCAGACAGGATGGCTTCTATCACATCCAAGTAACACTATGACATCACAGTAAGAAAGGAAGAGACTGGACCTCATGATTCTCAGCCCTCAGGCTGATAAAGAGGCTGTGGCTAGAGTTCATGTCT